ATTCTGAAAATAAATACAGCTCTGGCAGTAGGGAAGCTGTAGCAACCAGGTTGACCTTAGACGGGACGATAGATTACAATATGAGAGAAGGAAATGAGAGTGAGATAAGACGTTTCGATAAATTTCGGAACTACTTATGATGGGTGATCCGTGTCAGCAGTAGAATAAAAGGACTGGACTTAGGTGTCATGCATAGACATTTTACGATAGTATAGAAGACATTGCCTGTATTTCATCCCTTAGCTATAAACACAGACCGAATTATGTGTGCGGATAGGAGTGGGAATCATCAGTACAGCCTCCTCCGGGCCGTGGTACTGAACAGCTATGTAACTATGTAACTTATTTGCTATTTAACTTATTTGCAAGACAGAAAAGCAAAATGTACCAATCAGAAACGCAACAAAAAACCTACAATTGTATCCTCGCACGAATCTTCGGGTGAGGTAAAATACGAACAGCCAGTAGCATTAGCACCAGGAACCTGTGCCGATATATCGCCACCAAAATCGGCACCTGTGGCATCGCATTGTAGCACTGTATGAAAGCCACCTGCTTTACGCTCCCACTGTAACAGAAAAAAATTTCTCTGGTTTGCGGGAACTATAAATACCAATTAAAGGTTAAAAGAGAATATAAGAGAAGGAAATGATGAAAAGAAGAAATGGATATTAAGATAGGTAATGAATGTAAAAATTCCGAGAAGAATATCAAGACCAAAATATCAGCAGCAAGAGAAGTTGTACATAGAATAAAAAACAAAAAAAAAGGTACCACTTCGAGGATGTATTGTGCATTCGCAAATCGTATAATACTCGTAACTATGAACAATATAAATGCTCCGTCACAACAAATCGTTATCCTTCCATGCATATGCTGATGATGGTGAGGATGCATTTTTGCTGCTGTTGCTGCTACTTCTTTTCAGTAATTTTAGTATCATTCAAATCTAAAATACATCGAAAATAATTACTATTTCGTAAAATCTAACAATGCGAGCAGCAACGGTGGGCACTCTACATTTTGAGCACAAATAACCCAAAGAAAATAAGGATAATTCGACAAAACGATTGAAAAAAATTTGGTTGGCGAATCCATAAAAACCCACAAATATCACCGAGATCATCAACATGCAGCTCCTGTTTTTCCCGGGATGCATCACCAAAAGTCTTATCCTAAAATCTGTCCATTCCCCGGGAATATTCGGATTTCTCAATGAAATATTCCATCTCCCAGAAACGATCTGTGTGGATTCCCTTGGAATCATAGGCGGATCCAGAACAGGCTCTAAGAGATAGGGGAGGGGGAGGGGAAGGTAACGGGGGTTGGGGAAGAGCCTCCTAGCCCAGGGCTATGCAAAAATAACTAGGAATAGAGTTATAATACTACTAATTAATTTTAGTTTTATTTATAAACAGACCCAGGCTTTTGCAGCACTGGTGCCTGCACCGCTGAGGGAGGGGAGGGGGAACCAAAGCACTTTCACTCCTCCCCCCCTCCCGCCCTTTCTTTCTCGACTTTCTCGTCCCCACCCCACACCAAATATGCTTGGAATTCATCACTACAACGATCAACCATATAAGAAATCTGACAGGAGCTAGAAGGAATACATGAATTTTCAAAAGCATCGGATTCTGGGAGCAAAAGAAACCTGCTGTCACATTTGGAGGGAAAATAAAAAGCGCCTGTATCAGAGCTATAAAGTAAAATTTAACGTATTATTCCATCAAAACTAAGTCAAATTCCAACCATCGGGCCGAGTACCATGCACTGCAGATTAACTACGAAACCTGGGCTGGAACGCATCGGGCGAGCCCGTGCGATCATGCGTTTTTGCACCGGACTTGCATTTGTATAAATATGCAAAAATGCATAATAAATCAGACCTAAA